AGGGTCTGGGGGGCGCCCGGCAAACCCTGAAGCCGGCAACACTGGGGCAGCCCTTTCCCCCTGGCTGGGAGTGGAAGGGAGGAGGGGGCGGATTTCGGGTGGGGAAGGGGCAGAGTTGGGGCAGGGCTAGGGGTGGGGAAATGGGCGGGGCCAGGGCCCGTGGAGGGTCCTCTTTTTTTATTTATGAGATATGGTAACCCTACTTTAAACCACAATTTGAGGATGTCAATGGCTAGACATAGGTCAGGGGGGTTTGATGCGGGAGTGGGTGGGTGAGATTCTGTGGCCTGCGTGTGCAGGAGGTCAGACTAGATGATCATAATGGTCCCTTCTGACCTTAAAGTCTCTGAGTTCACAAGTGCAGGGCTGGCATTAGGGGGTGACAAGCAAGGCAACTGCCTGGGGCCCCATGCCACAGGGGCCCCCATAAAGCTAATTTACATGTTTTAGCCACGCCGCCTGGGGCTCAGCCTTCAGACAAGGCTCACAAGTGAAAAATGGCTCAAGCATCACACTGAAATGTAAGTACAATATTTATAGTCCAGTTGATTTATTTTATAATTACATAGTCAACATGAGGAAGTCGGCACTTTATCAGTAATAGTGTGGCTGTGACACTTTTGTATTTTTATCTCTGATTTGTAAGCAAGTAGTTTTTAAGCGAAGTGAAACTTGTGATACACAAGACAAATCAAACTCCTGAAAGGGGTACAGTAGTCTGGAAAGGTTGAGAACCACTGCTTTAAGCTACAGTATCAGAAATGCATATAGACAAAAAAAGAGACAATGGGAGAAGCCCTTCCCTCCCCCAACCCCCGTAGTGAGACTTCAGAGTTTCTGTATGATGTGAGATTTGGTGGCTGAGATCTCCAGGCTCGGCAGTGGAGCTGTTGAATGAAGATGATGAGAGGGCTGTGGAGTGGAGGATGAGTCAAATAGTGAGAATTTAGTGGCCCAGGAGGGGCCATCAGTACTGCACACAGGAGAGTGTCACATCCCCCGCTATCTGTAGCTGGTCCACCTGGTTGGCAGGGAGACGGTGGACATAGTCAAACACGTACAGTCCATTCACCGAGACCTGGTAGCACTTCCGCGTGTTCATTATCTCCATCTGGAAGAGAGAGAAGATTTACATTTGTGTGCCCTGACACCCAAGGATACAAGAACACCTGTTACACTGATAACAAGGCCCAGGGGAGCCATCAGTTCATCTTGCAGCACATTAGCCAAGAAGATAAAGTTGAAGCCAAGAAAAGCTTCTCCTGACCTGCGTCTTTGATGCCACGTGAATGCGTGTCTCAAAACCACAAATGTAACATTTTCTAACAGAGCTCCTGAAATAAAACAGCAGCTGGCTTATCGCCAAGATCACCCCTTGCTACATGATCACAGAGTGTTTATTTCAAGCTCTTTTGATGGGGAACACAGTATGCAACTCAACCTCCACTTCCTCAGAAGTATCTTTACAAGATTTGTTTCAGGCAGAAAGCTTACCTGCTTGGGAAAGGAGACGAATGGGGAGAGCAGATCAGAGTATATAAAATCACATTTTTAAAACCTACATTAAAAGAACATGAAGGTTGCAAATTCAAGCACTCAAAATTAGATGATGTTAGGGATTAATATTGCCCAGCAACCTTAATTCATCTGCCTTGTGTGTGAGCATCATGGTACAGTCTTTAATTACATAAAATCATAGCGATGTAGGACTGGAAGGGACCTCAATAGGTCATCTAGTCCAGTCCCCTGCACTGAGACGGGACTGAGTATTATCTAGACTAGTGGTTCTCAACCCACGGCCCGCAGGCCACTTGCGGCCAATCAGCATACAGCTGGGGCCCATGTGACATCCTCAGGGCCATACATGTAGTATATATATTGTGTGGATGCAGCCCACATAACACATAGAGAGCAGCATATGTGGCCCACAATGGTAAATAGGTTGAGAACCACTGAACTAGACCTGGATAGGTGTTAGTCTCACCTGTTCTTAAAAACTTTCAATTGACAGAGATTCCACAACCTCCCTGGGCAATTTATTCCAGTGCTTAACTACCCTGACAGTTAGGAAGTTTTTCCTAATGTCCAACCTAAATCTTCCTTTCTGCAATTTAAGCCCATTGCTTCTTATCCTGTCATCAGAGGCTAAGGAGAACAATTTATCACCATTCTCTTTATATCAACTTTTTATGTACTTGAAGACTATTACCATGTTCCCGCTCAGTCTTCTCCAGACTAACCAATTCATTTTTTTTCAGCGTTTCCTCATAGGTCATGTTTTCTAGACCTTTAATCATTTTTGTTGTTCTTCCTCTGGATTTTGTCCACATCTTTCCTGAAGTGTGGCGCCCAGAACAGGACACAATACTCCAACTGAAGTTTTATCAGTGTTGAGTGGAATAATTACTTCTCATGTCTTCCTTACAACACTCCTGCTAATACATCCCGGAATGATATTTGCCTTTTTTTTTTTCCCCCGCAACAGCATTACATTGTTGACTCATATGTAGTTTGTGATTCATTATAACCCCCAGATCCTTTTCTGCAGTACTCCTTCTTAGGCAGTTATTGCCCATTCTGTATTTGTGCAATTGATTATTTCTTTCTAAGTGCAGTACTTTGCATTTGTCATTATTGAATTTCATCCTATTTATTTCAGACCATTCATCCAGATTGTCAAGGGCATTTTGAATTCTAATTCTCTTCTCCAAAGCACTTGCAAACCCTCCCAGGTTGGTATCCTCTGCAAATTTTATAAGTGTACTCTCTATGCCATTATTCAAATCATGTATGAAGATATTGAATAGAATCAGACCTAGGTCCGATCCTGTGGGACTCCACTTTGTATGCCCTTCCAGCTTGATTGTGGACGATTGATCAGTACTCCCCGCATACACTTTTCAAACCAGTTGTGCACCCATCTTATAATACATTCATCTAGCCTATATTTCTCGTTTGTTGATGAGGCCACGTGAGACAATATCAAAAGCCTGACTAAAATCAAGATATATCACATCTGCCTCAGTTAGAGTGTATACATCTTTGATATACAAGGCAATGTCTCCTCCCTTTTTTCCCTGCCTGTCATTGCTGAAGAAGCTGTACTCTTCTCTACCCATGTTCCAGTCATGTGAATTATCCCACCAAGTCTCTGTGATGCCAATTATGTTGCAATTGTGATTATTCACTAGTATTTCTAGTTCTTCCTGTTTATTCCCCATACTTCTTGCATTAGTATACAGACAGCTAAGACAGACATCTAAGATGTTCATTTGATTTCCCCTCTATATTCCCTCTTTTCTCCATTGTCCCTGCTGTGATTGCCTATGTTCCCCCCCCCCGCCCCATATTCTGACCCTTCACCCAAATCTCCGTGTTTTGGACTGACATGTGAGCTTTTGTCACCTGCCCCCATCAAACCTAGTTTAAATCCGGCCTCACTAGGTTAGCCAGTCTGTATCTGAAGATACTCTTCCCCTTCCTTGACAGGGACCTCCAGAGGTCATCTAGTCCTGTCCCCTGCACTCATGGCAGGACTAAGTATTATCTAGACCAGGGGTCGGCAACCTTTCTGAAGTGGTGTGCCAAGTCTTCATTTATTCACTCTAATTTAAGGTTTTGTGTGTCAGTAATACATTTTAACGTTTTTAGAAGGTCTCTTTCTAGAAGTCTATAATATATAACTAAACTATTGTTGTATGTAAAGTAAATAAGGTTTTTAAAATGTTTAAGAAGCTTCATTTAAAATTAAATTAAAATGCAGAGCCCCGCAGACCAGTTGCCAGGATCCGGGCAGTGTGAGTGCCACTGAAAATCAGTTCGCGTGCCGCCTTCGGCACGCATGCCATAGGTTGCCTACCCCTGATCTAGACTATCCCTGACAGGTGTTTGTCCAACCTGCTCTTAAAAATCTTCAGTGATGGAGATTCCACAACCTCCCTAGGCAATTTATTCCAGTGCTTAACCACCCTGACTGTTAAAAAGTTTTTCCTAATGTCCAACCTAAACCTTCCGTGCTGCAATTTAAGCCCATTGCTTCTTGTCCCAGCCCCAGAGGTTAAGAAGAACAATTTTTCTTCCGCCACCTTGTAACACCCGTTTATATACTTGAAAACTGTTATGTTCCCTCTCAGTCTTCTCTTCTCCAGACTAAACAAACCCAGTTTGTTCATTGTTCCCTCATAGGTCATGTTTTCTAGACCATTAATCATTTTTTCTCTGGACTTTCTCCAATTTGTCCACATCTTTCCTGAAATGTGGCACCGAGAACTGGACACAATACTCCAGTTGAGGCCTAATCCGCACGGAGTAGAGCAGAAGAATTACTTCTCGTGTCTTAGGGCTAGGTCTACACTACCCGCCTGAATCGGCGGGTAGAAATCGATCTCTCGGGGATCGAATTATCGCGTCTCGTCGGGACGCGACAATCGATCCCTGAATCGACGCTTCTACTCCACCAGCGGAGGTAGGAGTAAGCGCCGTCGACGGAGGAGCCGCGGAGGTTGATTTGCCGCCGTCCTCACAGTGGGGAAAGTCGGCTCCGATATGTCGAATTCAGCTACGCTATTTGCATAGCTGAATTTGCGTATCTTAAATCAAGCCCCCCCACCCCCGTAGTGAGGACGTAGCCTAGCTTACAACACTCCTGCTAATACAATCACTGTACTATGAATCGCCCCTGGGTCTTCTCTTTATCCCTCTGCATTAGGCAGGCTGCCTCCTCCTCCACTTCACGTCCGGGGCCCAGCAGGGGGAGCACTGAGAACACAGGAGAGACAGTCTCCCTGCTCTCCACTCTGGAGCCTGATAGGACAGCAACCCCCAGGAGGAGCAATTGCAGGAAAAGTCCTAGGCCCTATAGTCCTGGGCTGGAGCATGCTCTGTGCAGACAGACTCTTCAGAGAATAACACTTGCAGCCTCTAACAAACCTCTACTGAGCAAGTGCAAAGTGCAGTTTGCACTGGTGTGTAACTTGGCCGTACGTGGATGGATTTTCGCAGGGACAGCAAAAGGCATGTCCCTGACACAAGGGAGATAAACTAGGGTTACCATATTTAAAAAATAAAAAAAAAGAGGACACTCCATGGGGCCCTGGCCCCGCCCCTTTCCCACCCCCTTCCCGCCCCAACTCCGCCCCTTCCCCAAAGTCCCCGCCCTAACTCCGCCCCCTCCCCTGAGCACCACGCATTCCCCCTCCTCCCTCCCAGCCATGCGAAAAGGGCTGCCCGAGCGCTACCGGCTTCGGATACGCCCCCATGCCTCCCGGT